ACTGCTAAAACACAAAAATAGAAAGATTTCAAATTACTGCGAGTCAATTATTACTAATAAAAATACAATAGGTACTCATATAAACTAAAAAGAATCTAGGATATCTGTCCAATGATACTCGTACGATACCTCCCATCTCATCAGGGGTGCGACCGACCACCTAATCCTCTGGACATGGCTCTAACATTTATGTGTATCTGTGCCATAGGAGACGACATTTTCGCGATGTTATGGATTGACAGAAGTATTACCTACCAACTCGTTAATTCACCTAAAGTTGGTTTTTTTGGTTGTTAAACGACTAAGCTAGTAACACTGCTGAAGTACTGAAAATATTTGAATAATTTTTTCATTCACAATTCTATACTGAAAAATATTCTTAGTTAAAAATGCTTCAAAACTCCACTTTGTCTCTGGCACTCTGATATGGGACTCGAACCCATGACCTTTGAGCAATACGGGCGACTGCTCTAACCACTGAGCTATCCAGGACCTAACAGGACACAGGACTGATGAATTTTTCAAGCACTCATTACTCTCTCGCTACTGCAGAGCGTATTTTCATCAATTTTTCATACAATCCACCCAAACAGCAAAAAAATATATTTTTACAAATACTTCAACTTTCGATAAAAATGGAAATTTGTTCCAATTGTCTTAATTAAAAATACTTAAAAAATCCACTTTGTCCCTGGCACTTTGAGATTTTTGAGTAGCTCGGTGGCGTAGTGGATAAGCGCCGCGGCTCGCGATCGTTATCGTTAAACAACTTTCGCAAGGGTCGGTCACGGGATGGGTGACCAAAAAATTATTATCTCGTGCTACTCCGTGCTTCGGAAGGCACGTTAAGCCGTTGGTCCCGGCTGCATTTGCAGTCGTTAATACCCTCCAATCCACATTTGGCCAGCGTGGAGGGTCATGGCCCATCCTTCTTAACCATCCATAAGGAAGGCCTGAGCCCCCGCAGTGGGGACGTAAAAGAGCTGATGATGATGATGATGACTCTGAGATATCTTATCCTACACCTAGAGTTATGGCACAGATCATGATGACGATGGTGATTCTGTCAATATACGGCGTCGAACGTATCGTCGAACTCGGCGCTACCTTGGATAAGAGGTTCAAACGAATAAAACCTGTATTATCGTTTGAACTGGGTTTTATTTAATTGAACCTCCAATATTATGACAGCACTGTTTTCGAAGCTGTATTATTAAGAGAATAGCTCTGTTACGCTTGCTTAATAATGCATTTAAATCTTTGTTAATCACATTCAAATATGATAATTTTAAGAAATCGGAACTCAGAAGGTTAGTAGGGGCAATATTTGGCTGAACCAAAGAGATTTAATAATTTAATGACTCTATTAAACTGAATCTTTAACCAAAATTAAACTTAAAATTACCACGGGTTACGTTCATGCGCCTTTAACGCTTGTCACGTATAAATAATCAATAAGTTTTATCCTGCGGGAGTTTTCTATTAAATAATCCTAAAAAATCATCTTTATAATAATAAAATTTTAAAACTATGTTAGTAATATGTAGAGCACAAATTAAATGCATTCTTTAAACCCCTACTCCTTGGTGTATTTTATATTAATTTTCGACGGCACCTTTTGGTTTAGTAATATCACGTCTCTGAGGAATAAATAAATACACGTGACAACAGATAACCTTTATATATTACTATATTACTACCCCCCCCCCCCCCGTGATATGTCGTGATTTTGGACGAACCCCGTTACCCGTCCTTTCGAGCCTCACGTGATTAATGGACGGGTCCTTAATAAAAGTTTTTCAATGTTTCGATTTTTATAAATTTTGTTTTGGTGATCGCAAATATTTACATTTTCATTCGCATCGCACACACAAACATTGCTCTTAACGGGATTTAAACCCTCAGTCGCGTTCCATAACCATTTGTCACTTCGGTAAAACATATCGATATTATGGGAGGAATGTACGATCCCTAACAAATATATTATCAAATTAACTAAGGACTTTTCCCGCGTAAATTTTAGCATATATCACCCGCGTATGATGTAGGGTATGTTCCGATATACACTGCGACCACTGAACAGTATGACGTCAATTTAGTATACTGGAAGCCCGTTCCTTTAAAGCTAGTTATACTGGTGACTTTTTAAAACGGAACGCAGTCCAGTATACTGTTAATCCTATTTTTGGCGCAATTTTCAAATTTGTTAATGCAAGATGAATATAAATATAAAGATTCTCTCTTTTCAAAAGAAAATTGGAAAATTGTATAAAAAAAAAATTTATCAATTCAATCCATCTTATAAATAAACGTAAGTATTTTTTTTTGTTTATTTAGAAACTTATCATTTTCTGATTCTGTTTCGACTGATCACGTGATCAAAAGCACTGCGATCACCTTACCTTGAAATCTCCAGTGCTCACAGTACAAATATGGCGGCAATTCATGACGTCATAAATTTCCCTAGGGTACTGTAGCAGTGTACTGGCAGTCCATAACGGAACGGATTTTTCAGCAGTAAGACCACTGCGCAGTGCTCGCAGTGTATATCGGAACATACCCGTAGATGTCCATATTATGAAAGAATTTTCATGATGGAATCAGTATTTCCGAATATTACTTCATAACAAACCAACAAATACACAAAGATATAGCTCAAAATCACCTAATTAATAGTTTATTAAGAAAATAGACACAAACCTTATTTTTCTTTAATTAATTCAACGTTTGCTCGTAAATAAACAATGATTTGACTTACAATATACGATCAAAATATCAAAAACTAGCTTTCCGCCAGCGTCTTCGCCTGCATGGTTCCAAGAGAACCGTTTATTGGATATCCGATTCATATTATAACACGGATATAATAACAATGATACGTTGAATTCTAAACAATGGTGACTATAGCAACGTTTGAATTCCCCATACAAACTTCCACTCCCATTTTCATCCCTTTACTTACTGTTTTTCGGTATGAAATTTAGCCTATGTTCACCGCATATGCAGCTTCCCGTAGATAAAAGAATTTTTTAAATCGGTCCAATAGTTTAGGAGCGTATTCGATGCAAACAAACATACAAAGAAACAAAACTTTATAATATTAGTATGTACCATTACGTTTCATTCAAAATAACACTGTATATGCAAAATGAAATGCCACCCTGACTCCGAAACCTACTAGCGCCATCTAGTGTGGAGTAGCAGAACTATAATAATAATAATAAATAATAATAATGCGTTTAAATATATACAAAAGAGATGTAAAAAGTCATACAATTATCGCCTATTCAGCCATTAACAATAGCATGCAAATGTAGTTAAAGAAGCAACTATAAGCACTGATCAATCCACCTCAAGCTAACGTTCAGTTTCTATAGTCTAAGAACTCATGCAACGAATAAAAGGAACGCTCAGCAAGCCAGTTATATAACTCTTTCTTAATTCTTCTAAGAGGTGTATTGTTTATAGCTTCCCGAATCTTATTAAATATTGTTTGACATATACAGTAGCAGTTATTCTTAAATCGCGCGCTTTTTGGTACTATGTCAAGAACTAGCCTATTCTTATTTCTAGTGTTCCTGGGACACACTTCTTGGTATCGTTTGGCAAATTTCGCTGCTTCAAATAAGGAAGGAAGAGGCAGAATACCGAGAAATTTAAACCATTGCTTACATGAGACGTCGAGAGCGATACCACATATGGATCTTATGCATTTTTTCTGAGCAATAAATACCCTTTGCGCATCTGTACCATTGCCCCAAATAATAACTGCATAACGTAAAATTCACTCCACATAAGCGAAGTATGCTATGAGAGCCGTACTTCTTGTCGCTACTCTCGATAATTTAAATAATGCAAATGAGAAGCTTATTATAAACGATTTCTGCATGTTGTTTCCAATCTAGTTTCTTGTCAATAGTTATGCCTAACGTCATCAGCTTCTTCAAGCGTGTATTTTTGGTATTTAATATTCAAGTTATTAAAAATTATATTATTAAAATTCACTACCACTGATTTGGTAGGTCGTTAATATACACCAAACATAAAAGAGGTCCTAGAACATTGCCTTGTGGAAATCCAAAATTTTTACTTTTAATTCTGATTGATACTTTCGATTTATGCCTTTTGAATCTAATTGAGTTATTTCAACAGATTGCATTCTATTTTGTAGGTTTTAATATGTTTTGATCCAATTTAAAGCTGTACCTCTGATACCATTGTTATATAATTTTTTTAGTAGTTGTTCATGAGAAACGAAATCAAATGCCTTTGACATATCAAAGAAAAGAGCTGAAAGCCATGTTGATTATTTTTTAGCACATTATATTTATTAAAAACGATGTTACTTTGTTATGTATTACTTTTTTATGTATCTTTGATAAAACTGGTATCAGTGTAATGGGCCAATAATTTTTTTAAATAGTTTTATCGCCTTTCTTATGTAAAGGTTTGACAATGGAGTGTTTTAATTTATTAGGAAATATACCCGTTTCCATTGACAAATTTATCAAAAATGATAAAATAGGCCTAATTTGTTCTTTACATATTTTAATCACATATGTACATATACATATTATCATGGCCTTCAGATTTTGTATTATTCAATGTCATTATAACTTTTTCAACATAGCATTCGTCAATGGGAGTAAGAAAGATTGAATTATTAAATATGTAATTTGAGTTTTTAATTGTATTATCAATGTCATAATTATTATTATCAAAATTGTTGGTTAAATTTATAAAATAATTATTAAAAATGTCTGAAATATTTGAAGGATCATAATTAATATTACCATTAAATTCAATTTTGTCAATATAATTATTATGATGTGTCATATCAATTTCAGTTTGTATAACTTTCCATGTGGCTTTTGATATATTTTTACTTTTTAATACAAACTTCTTATTCGTATTTTTCTTTTAGCTAAGAAAATGCATTTTCAAATATATTTTGTGTATTTTTAGATTCAAATTTATTTATTTTTTTTATTTTGTTACAGGACGCCTAGCAGTTATAACGTTCAGCATATTTACAGTGGCAATAGGAATCATACTATCATTCGTGCCATGGTTGGATTATATTATATTTAGGGTAAGTCTATTAAAATTCCCACTTAAATATTACCGCCATAAGGATGAAAGATTTGATATAATTGAATCTAATGAATAACCTCTACTGGACCGGTTTTAAATTCGATTCTATCACCAATACAAAACTAGATTATCAACACGTAATATCTATTGTAATAATATCTATTGAATGCCACATGACATTCGCGGATGTAAAAATGTAAATTCGTGTCGGCAGACTAAAAAAAAACTAATTTTAATTTAGATTGATTGTTTAATTCTGTAATATTACACTTGTATCTATAGCCGAGTAGAAATTAATAATAGAATCACTTAAGTGACAGAATATTTTAAGTAAATACTGTTCTAACTTCATTTCTTTATTGCTTTTACTCAAACAATTATTTCTTCTCAACTACAGATACGAGTGTTAATTACTTATGTTTCATAATTGAAAAAGAAAAGTGTGGAGTTTAACATGACCATCACAGTTGTTCTTTATGTATTTCACGTAGAAGTTATTCAGAGTCTTTTTTATACAGGAATTAAAAATATGGAACGGCTCGTTAAGCTACAGTTACTGGCAGAAGCCTGGAGTCACCCGCCTGACCAAAGTCTATATATTCAACGTTACCAACCCCCAAGGGTTCTTAGAAAACGGGGAGAAACCAAAGCTGGTGGAGGTTGGACCCTTCGTCTATAGGTGAGTCTAATATATCGTATATGAACTAATACCAGCTTTCCGCTGGCGGTTTCTCCCGTGTAGAATCCCTTAAGTCTATTTTTCACGATAAGAACTATCCCCTGTCTTTTCCCAAGATCCACTATATCTTTGAACCCAATTTTTTTTTAAATTATTTCAATAGTTTAGGTATGAAAATGTAACAGACACATAGGCAAAGTATTTCGGCATTTATAATACTTATTAATGTAAATTATAGAAGTAATGTTTGTAACTTTGTTTGTTGGGAGTAATTCTTCCGAAACACATTCGATGTTCTTCTTTTAAAAAAAACTATGTTTCGTAAGCTGTTGGCTCATAATTACTCCACCAAGAGATGTGATACACTTAACACAAAATTAAAATTAATACCTGCACCTCGGTATTGATATAACGACAGTCAAACGCAGGGCCGGATTAAGTGCACGAGTTAAATAGAAAATATATACTTTCAAAATGCTTAAAATCAATATTATAAAAAATTTACTTACCTATTTCATACGACAAGGTCATTGCTATATATAAAGATCAAGCGTGAGCGTCCTATATCGAATTTGGCAGACACAAATATTTCCAAAATTGAAATAATTCAAAATGTTTGAAAAATATATATACCTAGACAATACACCACATTGTTAAAAATAAAACTTATTCATTGATAAAATCATTAAAACGTTTTTATAGCTAAATAAGTACGTGATGCTCTGAGCTTACCTTATTTAGCTTATGGGCTAATCCGACACTGATCAAACGTATAATTGGATGACTGGTTAGGTGTTTCACAATTTTCTTCATAATCTGTATACTAAGTATCGTGTCGTGTTATGATGGAATTTATAAAAGTCTTATTCCATGGCCAGCAGAGACGTTTATAACTAAAATTTCACCGTTTGGTAATTCTCAGCAAGATGTGATTAATTTAAAGGTCATAATGTACAATGATTTGTCACGTGATATATATATATATATTTTTAATATTACTCATCAATCCAGAAGCAAAAATTAACCAAGTGACCAAATGATTCAGTACAGTTATTATTTTTAAATTTATACTTTATAGATTTTCTTGTTTTAGAGATTAGGCAGATAACAGTTTAACTTGCTAGCTACGACTATAGCCATGGCTATACAAACGTTTGATTATGACACTTTTGTATTGTTTTATAATGTTCTTGTTTAATTACTGAGATATTGATATTTGCAGTTTTCTAAATTACCTTAATTAAGTTTTAGTAAACTGAAGTTTGATCGAAACAATGGATTGAGAAAACAAAATATAATAATAATAATTTGTAGATATAAGAATGTTTTACTAATTTTATCAATAAACATGTCATTAATAAAATTAATAACGCATTATTGTAGTCAAGGCAGACTTATTTATCTATTGTTATGACTACAGTAATTAACAGAGAGTTAGGCGAATTCTCTTTGATTCAGACTTTCTACAAATATGAACAATTTGTAGATTTTAGTATCGAATATCTTTATATTGTTTTGGAATCATTTTTCAAATCATTATTTACATGTTTAATCAATTAATATGTTTTAGTTTTTAAATTAAAACTTAATCCAACATCGAAATATGACAAACAATGCTGCTATTTTAGAAATAGAACTAAAATGTTGCACTGTATTTAAATAATAATATGTATAAATTATAAATCAATATTAACGTATTTATTAATGAAATCAATAAAACCTCCTTGTAGATGAGGCTTGAATCGTAGCTACAGCGAGTTAGTTAGGTAGTGCGGAGATTAAAACCTATCTTCTCAAATAACTTCAAAATACAGTTTAATCTTTTATTTATATAAAAAAATATATATTTTAACACTAGCGCCATCTCTTAACAGTAAGTAAAAAGGTTCTTTAACATTCCATTTTTAAATGTCCAATTTTGCTATCTACATTCGAATTGCGTTGGTGTGTGTGTGTAATTTCCAGTAATTTCACAGGTATAGCGTGATACTATCTGGTAAAGTTATTATTTTTTTACAACCACATAATTTTAAAACCGCTTGCTAACTGTGGGAGACGATAGAATATCATGGACGAGTAATTTGCACGCGTTAGTGATTGATGATGGCATGGCTTGCATAAGATTACGCTATTTCAGGCTATTCTCAGTGTGTACTAAAACGGGTACTTAATATGGGGACCATATTCTTTATCCAAATATGTGTTTTACCTCAGAACGAGAATGAGATATTATATTAAACTAGCTGACCCGACAGACTTCGTCCTGTCAAAAAGATTTGTAATGTGGCAGTTTTTTTGCCTACGTATTTAAAAAAATTCTGATGCATTTTATCTCGCGTGCCGAAACTAATACAAAAGAAACGCGAGTTTCGGAACGCGACATTAAACTCCTCCAACTATGTATTCTGTGCTCCAACGCACACACGCACATTGTTTTGATAGATATGATCTTTGACGTTAGGAACACACCTACATTGCTTAGACAACAGTGAGTGCTTGTAATTTAATATGAACTTTATACCATAGCAATAAAGCTCAAATTGACTACGTTTTAGTTACAAATCATTTGTATGGGAAAAAGAAAAGGGCTATTTTTAGGGTTTTTCCAGCAATAATTCTAATTTTTCTCGCCGTAAAAACCATCCTTGAACTTCAACGAACATTTTAAAAAAAGATTTGGCCAAATTGGTCGAGGCGTTGTTGAGTTATGCGCTTACCAACACATTTTGCGATTCATTTTTATATATATAGATTATAAAGCGGTCCCTAGACATGCTGTCATGCATGGCATGCATGACTTGCATGTCTGTAATTTTGTACACAACATGCAAACTTGCTGGCAGTTGATTGACAACTCCCTATATTTTTTCATCATGCAAGCTATTCTTATCTGACTTCTGGGGCGCGACCGACTAGCGAATGGACGTAGCTGTAGTCGTAGCTGTAGCCTACGCTTTATCGATATCTCTCACGAATCTCTTTATATTGTTTTAAAGCTATTTTTTATTTATTTATATATTATATCATACATTTTGGTTTGTTTTTCTCTTCGGAACAGCATTGTTTGTATCAATTCGATATTTTGTAAATTTCGTTTAACTTTAATTTAAAAGTAAACAAAAACAACCAAAAGCATTCATTAAATATATAAATAATAAAAAATGATTAATTTTTTAAACAATATCAACGGATTCATGAGAAACATCTATAAAGCGTAGCTTATAGGTACGACTACGGCCACGTCCATAAGTGAGGCGGACCTTTATGTTTGCAACAGCACTTTAATAATGTAATTAGCAGATCAGGGGCGCGACCGCCTAACTCATGGACGTAGCCGTAGTCGTCGAAACATTTCCTTAAAAATGTTGCATTCAGCAATAAGTGTTGGATGGTAGCGCGAACTGTAAATAGGAAAACAATAAATAGATTCAAACACAAACACCGTTTTTTGACTATTTTTATTTATTTATTTATTTAAATTAGGTACACTTACAGATTACAGTCAACGCATAACTTCGACAGATATATTAGATTACTTAGTCTAGACAATAATCCAAAATTAGTGTACACAGCATGATCCATAATAGAGGACGGTCTATACACTAACTTATTCTATCCAATGACTTCTATCCAAAAAAAAGGGATTATTTCGTAGGTGAAGATACCTGGTCTTTAAGGAAATCAGTTATAATCTTTTTATATCTGGAGAATTTATGGTCAAAGATGTCGATTTCATTTTGACTAATACAATTTGAAATCATGATACAATCATGGAAAGTTGTAGAGAAGAGAAGGCGTAAACGGGAACAGCTGTTAAAATTTCTTTTACTCTATTTATTTATTAGTTCTTTTATTTACTCTATATATAATAATTTAGTATGGTTGTACAGTAAGCTGTGTCTTATTTCGAGTTAATATATTATTATTATTGTTTCTTGTTTCAGGGAGGATATGGAGAAAGTTAACATTAAGTTTCACGACAACGACACAGTGACGTACCAACACAACAAAATATTAAGATTCGTACCTGAAATGTCTGTTGATAAGAACCAGAAATTAGTTGTACCCAATATCCCTTTATTGGTAAGTATTTAATTAGCCATCAAATTAAAGCTACATTAAACAAAGAAAGAAAAAGATAACTAAAAAGAAGAAAGCGAAAAAAAGAAAAGGAACGTATGAGACGAACTCTATTTTTTAACTGTAATTATTAATTCCTAATGTGGAAAAACAACTTAGCTTATACTCGTGACAATATAAAATATGGTTTTATTTATGCCATTCATCAAAAGTTAGTAAAATTTTGAGCCTTTTACCCACATTTAGACACGGCTATGTTTCTCGTTAATCTTCTATCTCTTTCCAGACTGTCACTTCCTTCTCTCCCAATCTGGCTGGCTTCTTATTCAATCTTCTTGTTTCCGGACTTGCTATCACGTACAAGGAGAGAGCGAAGCCATTTGTCCATGTTACAGCTGAAGAACTGGTTTTCGGGTGAGTTTAAATTGGAGATAAAATTGTTCAGAAGCAATGGCAAGTTAAGACGTCTAACATACTACACACGACCTATGGTAAAATATTCTAGTACAGTTCTTCATTATCATCTATTATTAACTATTCTTTGCATTTTTTATTAAAAACATTTCTTCAATCTTAAGTTTAGCTTCCGATAACTGGAACTTATTAATCAAATAAAACTCCCATCTTCTTTATCTCCAGTGCCTTAAAAATAAATAATAAATAAAATTATAAAACCGACTCAAATTTAAAAAAGTGAAAAATAATGTCTTAAAGTATATCTTAGAAGCGGTTATGCCAATATATTAAAAAAACATTAAGGACGGACGGTTCATTTAATAAACTATAGAAAACCTCAATCCGAATTCAATCGATTTTAAGATAAGTATTATTTTTCACTTTAGCAAAACTAAAATTTCGAGTCGGTTTTATTTTTGAAAAATATTTTCTTTCGTTTTTTTAGTGATACTTATATAGGTACAAATATATATAAACATTTTGTATAGGTACCACTAATATATATTAAATGTCTATATAAAAGAAATTATATTTACAACGAAAGTCCTAAAATTTTTATTCATTTGCACAATGAAACCACGCAGAAATCGGTGAACATACCTACTTGAAATAGGGAAACCTGAGGAAAGCTGAAGTACTATACTAAATCTACAAAGAGTATATTTACATAAAGATATAAAAAAGTATATTTATTTATTTATTTATTAAAAGTTCACACATCAGGTTATAATCAAATAAAGTATATAAAAAGCATGTATAAAGATAAGAGCGAGACTGTACCCCAAAAGCGTGTGTACACAACATTATATTCAAAAAGCGTAAACATCCGATATACTTGAACAACAGATAGTACATACAGATCAATAGCACTATACACAATGCAGAAAGCACATAGCTACAATACATATACAAATACAAACATACAAAAAAATACACAATTCAAATTGTTAAATTACGTAAAAACATTCTTGCAACTTGCTAAAAAAAATTGTAGTCTTTCTTTACAAAGGGTGTTCACTAATTTATTTGCTGTTGAAAGAGATTCGAGAACATACCTAACCTGAAATTTGAAGGCGACATACCTGGGTGTATATAAATCTAATTCAGTTCTGAGTTGGAATCTAAGAAACAAAAATCTATTATATTTATATCACTCGTTGAACATAGAAATTCATCTTTTCGGATTATGAATTAATTCAAAGTACGCTATCTCTTGTTTTTTCGTTGATATAAACATGGCATCAAAATATTTTGGTGACATCTGATGAAAAGCATTTTTTTTTTGTTTTAATAAGAAAACTACTTATTCGATATGCATATGATGTACGAGTAGCTTCTCGTAGGTGAATTTATAAATCGGTTCAGTAGTTTCGAAGCCTCTTCTTTACAAACAAACAATTGTGAAATGTTAAGTGGAATAAAAAGTATCCTATTATCTTAGTCAGCTAATACCCTATCTGTATACCAAACTTCATCAAAATCCGTTCAGAAGTTTCGACGTGATTGACGGACAAACATCCAAACAGAGAAACTTCCACATTTGTAATATTAATAGGTATAATAGTGAGTTTTTATAATGACGTTGTTTTACGATCAAAATACTTACCATGTATATACCTATATTCTTTTACTCGAATCTAATTTCTTTTTCTACAGATATGACGACCCACTCGTGACCCTCGCCCATTACTTCTATCCCAAAGGCAAACGGCCTAACAGTCAAATGGGGCTTCTTTTAGCGGTAAATATAATATAGATTTTATCTTATTGGCTAATATAATAATGCTAAAATGTTTGTTTTTGTGTGGACCCATAAATGTCGGGAACTTATTGACTTTTTTAAATTGTACTACAAAACAATTCTTAAGTAAGCCTTTACACTCATTATATATTGCCAGCTAAGGGATACATATATTACCAGTGTCTTGATTCAATTGGGATTTAACTAATCTTTTTTTTCTAATCTAAAAAGCTTATATTAATTTTTATTTATGTTGGTGGTTACATGAGCTGACATTTAATTAATTACTTTGCAAAAATTTATTGCTTTGATAAATTTCAATTTAAAAAAAAACGTGTATAATTAATACGCGTCTTAAAGGTGGTTAAATTATGTTTGTGTAACTTCTACTTAAATGTACGAAGGTTTTAAGTGAATTTAAAAATCCATTTACAATTCGAAAGGAAATCAGTGAACGGACTTAAATAAAAAAATACATCCCTGTCGAATAGTATCCCCTACTTTTCTATTTAAAGTCTGTTAAAATAAGCTGCCATTTAAGGTTTGTCTTACCTTTCGATAAAGTATCCCCCGTCAGTTCCCTCACCTTCTTGTACAGGCCTATTTCTCCATTCATCTTTTAATATTTTGACAGTCCAACAATCATATTTTTCCATAATGTTTATACTAATAACAGGGTAGACATTTACTTAATGACTTTCTTTCTAAATAACGCCAATTTTTGTTTGTTATATAACCTCCAGTCGTACTAGAGCCACCTAACGGGAGAAAAATCAGACATCGCTATCAGTTAAATGTAATAAGTTAACACATCTTATATTACGTTAGGTATTTCATATCATCTACAATAACATCATATTTAAGTTAACTGACATCATACCTTATTCATAGATATTTTAATAAATGTTTTATTTGATGGTGAAAATCGTCTGAAAATCTATTAAGCTGCTGAATAGCTGCAAATTTTGTAACTGCACCGCGTAAATGACGTAGTTTTTCAAATCAGGATAGCTAGCTTGTGCTAAATAAGATATCTTGAGGCGTTAGCTTACTTTCTTACTTTAGTTTATTAGCTTCAAGATGAAGCTAGTTCTGTATTGAAGAGAATAGAGGTGCTAACTTATTTTCTTATTTTGGTTTACAAGCCTAGAAAAGAAGTTATAATACTATAAACACGAAAAGCTTACTAGCAAGTGCTTGATATTCTGGTTTGAAACCAGCCTCACATTTAATGGTACATATCGGCCATTAAATGTGATAATTATTTTAAGATAATTATAACGGGAAAATCTACTTTATTTTTCTTTTTTTTAGAGAAACGGTACTTTAGAAGAAGTATCAACAATATACACTGGACAAGAATCCCTGGATAGATTCGGATACATAGACAAGATAAACGGATTGGATCACCTGCCGCATTGGAGAGATCGACCTTGCAATGATATCAGGTACGAAATGTTCAAACAAGAATGATTATGTATCAACACCTAACGAATAATATACCTGGCGATATTATCACTATAATAAGCGTATCGATGTTATGCCCATGGAAACGAACGCACAGGAAAAAGGGCTTATTATTGATTTTTTTGAAATTGATTAAAAAATTGTAAAGGCTTAACGTCCAAAGCACGGAGTAGTACAACACAGTCAAAGACCATACTAGGTATATGTTACGATGATCTGTTAATTATTCGATTACGGTTTATAAAATACAATACTGTGACAGACAGACGACGCCGTTTGGCGTAATATATGTTAAATATAGGAGATAACGCTGGAAATTTGTCATTATTTTATACAAATATTGACACATGTTAAAAAAATATATAAGCGCATAGAAATTAATGTGATGAATAAGGATAAAAGTACTAGGAAGTCATAACATTCCCGGAGATATTTATTTTTGAAATTGTGTTTGACAATTTATTGCGAGCAAATATTGATGTAACATACTAAGAAATGAGGATTTTCTTTTGAAAAGCATATATTTGTCGTACTATAAGTATGCGTTAACAAAACCGTTTTAAAATGCATGTTGTCATTGTAAAGGAAGGCTTATGTCGGTTTGTCGCATTAAAAAAATAATAACGACAATGAACTATTTTTAGTTTAATTGAGTGATTGAACTTGCCTATTTTTTATAATGTACTAACCAGGATGGTCACGTGACTTCAAATCGATTTTCCTAAAATATAGAAATATATTTTATATACTTTGAGAAGTGCTGAGACATGTAAAAATACCTTTACACGTTGTAAAACTTTTATAATTCCAAAACCTGAGGGTTTATAATTGTTACTTCTAAATTGAAATTTCGTAATGCAATAAGACTCTGTTTTTTGTTGAGAAGTTATATCTCAACAACACAATCAAAATAAAAGAACATTTTTAAGTGATTTTAATTATTAAAAGAAACTTTTGAATCAAAATCATGACGATCAAATATAAAGTCATTAAAATATCATAATACAATGACCTTCATTATACGAGTATAATTATAAATTAAGTAGTGTTACCATGTTTTACCAAGTAAATCATTACCGCCAATGTTATTTCTTTGAAATCAATTTGTATTTCACAGGGCCTCCGAAGGATCCTTCTTTCCACCGAGAGCAGTTACAAAATCAGACTTGGTTTACGTTTACGATAAAGATTTATGCAGAATCTTGCCCCTACAATACAGAAAAGATATATACAAAGACGGTAAGTTAAATTGTTAGTAGTTAAACGAGACTTTTTATTATTAAGTGCATAATTCGATGAGTTCTTTCTTTAGTCAAAGTAGTGTTTTCGCCGCTTTCCTTTACAGATTTTTACGTTACAACAGTTTCACAGCTCTAATTTTATGTTCTAAATATTACGACCTTCATAATCACATAAAATCAATTACAAAGAAAATTTTAAAGCCTCTTCAAAGCGGTTTAACCACAAACGGCACATTAAACTAACACTTTAATGACTCATTAGTGTTTTCAGTGGTTTTAAAATGTTTCCACAATTGACTTTTAGTTGCCCATATGGAATCTAGAGCAATATACCTAATAAGTTATCTAATTTAGTTGATTGATTTATGAAACAAATAGAATATTTGCAAATTAAAAAAAGCGGACTCTTTCTGGTACAGATATTATTATATCTTAAAAAATTGTCCATTACAAATGTTTACAAAATTCTGGTAGTGAAATAAAATGTTTTTGAAAAAAAAAAACTTTTTGATAGAAATAATAATAATTAACCAGTATCCGTTGAAAATTTGAGTCAATTAACTACTCATTCTCTACTAAGAATTTGATTGCCTTTATAATATATATTCAATAACTTCCTAACTCTTCATAATAGCCTAGTAGGTTAACATATATTCTAAAGGCAACATCTATCTATCTATATAAATTTAAATGAATTTCCGTTCGTTAGTCTCACTAAAACTCGAGAATAGCTGAACCGATTTGACAAAATTTAAGTCTTGAAATATACTTGGAAGTCCAGGGAAGGTTTAAACGATGAGAAAATATAACGAAACTGAGAGTTTAATACTAAAAACGACAATTTGATTTTCCCATACAAACTGTTCTTAGCTGTCAAACGTTGAGTTGATCGTGCAGTGGTCAGTTTACGTAATATTTTTCAATATTAATTTGGTTTTTATTAAGAGGTCAGCTAGTATATTTTTAAAATTTCTGAAAAATCCGTTCATATTTCGATTTAAGAAAAAAAGACTTGAGAATTTCAGTCTATTTTCGAAACATAATTTAAAATGTATGATGCTACACAGACAGCGTCCGGTCATCATGCAACACTTGACGCTGCCGTTCGTGAACAAACATTAACTGGTTTGTCAATTTATAATGCTGATATTAGAAAAACCATTTCAGGTATACAAACTGGCTTGTACACCCCGCCCAGTTCCACATTAGAGAACGCAGACTTGAATCCCGACAACAAATGTTATTGCGACGGTGAGAAGTGCCCTCCTCGAGGACTACAGAACATCAGCCCTTGCCAATACAGTGAGTCTACAATTTTGTTTAGTACATATTTTAGGTCGATTAAAATATGTAGTTCTTAAAAAATACACCAGTCCTAGTTACTCTGATATTGGACACGAACCCATGATCTTTCGCAATCAAAGCGACTATTATAACCACTGAGCTACCCAGGACCCAACAAAACTGACGAATTTCTCAAGCTACTTGTCGCTACTAGTAAGCGTATTGTCGTCAATGTACAGGCAATCTACCCAAACAGCCGAAAGAAATATTTTAAAGATTTTTCATTAAAAATATTTTCCAGTATTATGAATGAAAAAATTGATGAAATATAATGTTTTTTTATCAAATTATGATAAGTATTTTGAGCTAACAGATGACACACATCTAAATATATACATATATATAAAAACGAAAAGTTACTCACTCATCACGAAATCTCAGAAACTATAAGCGCTAGGAGTTTTAAATTTTGCATGCGGGTTCTTTTTGGGACCTAGGTGCTCACTAAGACGGGGTGTTACGAAATTCAACGCCTAAGGGGGTAAATTAGAGGACGAAAATTTGTATGGAATTTTCTCATTTCTGGACTTAAAACTAAATCACGTTACATAAAACCGGTTAAAATAACCCTCCGCTTTGAAAGTCAAAGTCAAAATTGTCTTTATTTAAAAAAAAAATTCAAGCTTCGTTGTTAGCTCAGAAGATACTTATATGTTTTTATTAAATTACGAATGACATACTAATTTGTCGTATGATTATGCAAGTACATATCTACAATCCTATTGTATGTAAGTTTTTTGTGTCATATTTTCCTAACTATAAGAAAAATTTAATGAATGCAAAAAATACTTTAGCTACTCAATATAGAGTTAAATAAGCTGTTAATTTTAATAGCTTTATAATAGAAAAGTTGTTAAATTATGCAATTTTCGATACACTCCATACTAATATAATAAAGAGAGCAGTTGTTAATACCCTCCAATCCGCATTGGGCCAGCGTGGAAGGTCATGGCCCATCCTCCTTAAACATACATAAGGAAGGCCTCATTTGGCTTGAGCCCCTGCATTTGGTCATAAAAAGGGCTGATGATGATGATGATGATGATGATGATGATGATGATGATGATGATGATGATGATGATGATGAATATAATAAATACGAAATAACTCTGTTTGTGTGTCTGTTACCCTTTCACGCTTATACTATTCTTACATTTTTTTTAATTAAAACGGGTTCAGTTTTAATTAAAGAAAATGAAATATATATTGAACATACAGTAAATAAGTAATTTATATAGTAATTAATTTAATAGTAAATAAAAAAGGGAAAAAAAAAGAAGTGAGGCCAATATGATCCCTGTCTCTTTCGCTTGTCCAATTGGATAAAACATTCTACTGCTGCAGGGCGATTCCGTAAAAATCCGGACCCGAATTCGATTTTCGAAGAAATTCTATTTATTCCATTTTTATATAATAATACAAAGCAAAATTGATTGGTTATACGTGTCTCAGATATTCAATTGCTATGTCACGAAATGTTATTACGAATTAAAAATTGAGCGGATGCCGCTCTTTGAAGTGAATTCTACATATAACTCAGTACCCAGTGCGGAGGTCAGGCGCTGCCGCGCTGGAGCACCTGGTGGCGGCGAGGAGTTAACAAACTTCTAGCAATTACTGAATATGTTTGTTCTGTTTAATGAATGTCTGAGTATTTTTTATGAAATAACTACTAATGATTTACTAATAGATTCTCCAACTCCAACCGACTTCTTGAATCTGCTGAGTCGCTTTATTTCACAATTAATTGTCCAGTCTGAGCAATTTAGGCTACTTTTTCATATTAAGAATTAGTTTTTCGCTAGTTTTAAACTATTAAAGTATCGATACGGATGTCTACACTGGCGCTAGTTAACCCAATCAAGAGCACGAAACTCCGCGCTGGTTACTGAGTTACGTATAACCCTTAGTACTCCAACATACTGAAATATCAAGCTTTAGAAAGCTTTTATACTTTTTTGTCACGATTTACCGACAGTTTTTCATTGTCCAGATGCCCCTGTATATTTATCATACCCGCACTTCTTTGATGCTGAGCCGACCTTACTGGATAGCTTCGAGGGTCTGAAACCTGATAAGAAGAAACACGAAAGCTACTTCATGATCCAACCGGTAACTTTATTATATATTATCTAACTTGTTGGAATTGACGAACATTTGAGATTAAGTTGTCTAGTTTTTTAATTGTTCGCTAATGCTATATAGAGTACCTCCAATTTAGTGCAGTCATTCTGAAGTTATGTGCGAACATATAAACCTATTTCTTTTGTATGGAAGTATAAGATTAGAGACAATATTATTTGGAATCAATCCAGCAAAACCGTATGAACGGTAAAACTGCCGGAGCCTCGTCTAAAGAAAATCATATGGCATTATTTATGAAATGATTTCTTAACTAAAAACTTACTGTTAAGTACATAGGGTAGGCATTTTTTTATTTGTTTCATCATCCTAATAATTATTTACGCCAAGTACTTCATATTTACCCGCGGTCACCGACAGTGTTACTAATTTAACAGGCATTATTTATAATACCCAATTGATCATTTCGTCCATAACCTACTACATTGGATTTCTCGTGATATTATTTATCGTTCTTTGTAGAAACTGGGGGTACCTATAGAAGGTTTCGTGAGGGTCCAACTGAACTTGAAGGTGGATCGCGCGCCCGACATTGGCGTCAACAACATCAACAAGTTTCCAGACATTATTTTCCCGGTCATGTGGATAGAGGAGGTAATAGTCTCACATACTTCTATTTTTTATAATATGTGTAGGTACATCTCCTTACACCAATCAGGCGAATTATTTAATCTTGAAAGGCGTATCTTTGTCTTCCCCGCCTTATATATCCTTTCACTTGCGCGTTATATATCGGCTTCATCATTGTATCATCCGCCAACATGTTTCTTTCAACATGTCTAAAAATATGTTTACTTTTACACCAACACTACCTTTCAGGTCAACTTTTTTTATATCTTTGCTCTAAAAGCACTCTGAGGGTTTTCCTCAAACACATCTTGACTATGTTTATTCTATTTCCGTACGCGAGAGTAATACTACTCTCTCTACCGCACAGTAGCGTGTGAATCAGCACGGCATTATGTCTAGCAAGCTGCTCTATTTAGCTCAAGCTTTTACTTCTAAGAAGTTTTATCATTTGGTAAATTAAAAAGCATAATCATTAATAACAACAATGAAAAGTTTTCATAGCTATTGCTTTGGCTTGTGGCTTTGTAATCATCGTAATCCACTTGGCCAAGGAGGGCGACATGATATTATTTTTCACATATATTTATGCACTATTTTGTAACGAAGACACTGATTATAAATTGTTTTGACAAAAAGCACTTTCTCTAAAATTTTACAATATCAAACTTCTCGTATATATTATATTGTAGTAAGTAGTAACAATTATTAAATATGCAACTGAATTCGTAGCCAAAGTCTGACATTAATTATTTCACTATAACCGTACCTAATGACTATCACGTACGTAAATTAACAGTATTTTTGAGAAACTACTTTAATCTTCTCTGCTATGGACATAACAGCCACTTTTTTATGATAATTTTGTATTTCCAGGGTATACACGAGGTGACAACACCAATATGGCGATGGATTTACCTAGCTACGACCGTTGGACCAGTAGCTGCACCATTGCTGTCTTACTCTATGATAGTCATAGGACTTTTCACTCTAATTATAATTTTCGTCAAAGCATACAAAAGCTTTGTTTTAGGCCAAAACTCCATAGAAATTGTCGAAATAGGGCGAGAGACATTACGTCGTAGGTCCACGTTGATAATTCACGAGTCACAAAAAATATTAATGGGAAAAGAAGCTTCATATAAACCTCTTCATCCACACCATCACGACGGCATTATTGACAGTAAGCTGCATGAACTAAAACACATGAAAGCAGAACTGAGCCAAAGTCTTGACGAGTTAAAATGTAAGTTAAGGCCGGAATTCGTAAAAAGTAACTTATGCGAAACTGAAAGAGAGTCGCTAATAAGTTCAGATAATACCTTCATATTATCCGAACACGCTATGTGCAATTTTTTTAAGTTACCAGAGACGGTGTGTTGACTTTTGTACGAATGCGTATTTGTTTTTTGTATGACTTTGGGGTGCTTTTAGACCCGTTTGACACTATTTGTTTCAATAGAATATTATTTCTAGAAGCATATTTAGTACATATGAGTGTTTCAAATGAGGAATGATATTTGATAGAAGTCATGGTCCAAGTCTATTTTCTGTGACAAATATGAATATAATTATCTGACTCTCTACATAAATATATTAATATGACAATATTTTAAAATAAATAGTATCTAATCCAATGTTATCATTTCAAATATAATATTTTGCTATGAAATTATAAAAATACCATTAGTTGTTTTACACTTACTTTTTTTATAATGTAAAAATTTTATGTTGAATGGTAAATGGCTTGAGTGCTTATATTTTAAGTACTTGCCTTTAATAAGTATGAATAATTAAAATGTGTCTTAGAACTGTTGAATGAATGAATAGCATTTTAGTTGAATTTCTTAGACTTAAAGAACGAATTGCTCATTTTTAGAATGCAAACTGCAAATTAAGTGCTGGAGCTCGTACATTTTGGGAATAAAATACTGAATTAGTGTTCAGTGTTTAATAAGACTGTTTAAAGAACCAGTAAAAAAAATACTAATTGTTTTAGTCTTTTATTTTTTATGGAATTTAAGGAAAATTCATTATTGCAGCAATTAGAGGTAAAATCTGGACCAAAATGCTAGTCGATTTATGATAAAGAGATTTCTATAACTATGGGTCTAACAGTTTTTCTTATCTACTTAGAGATGAACCATCTCTACCTAGCTATTACCAAAACGATTGACTTAATCTTTTACTTTTTATTTTTACTTTGGTCCAATAATAATTTGAGTTGTTATTGAAATAAAGCAGTTTATAATTAAAGTATCAAATATATAACCACACATATATATAAATTGTCATGAAAATTTAATACAAGGGAATCATATCATAAATTAGTTTTGCAAAGGACGGTATAAAAAAAAGAGGTGTATATACATTTTTATCCACAAAATTTTATTTATTTAATTAGCACACATCGACTATTATATTCTTATAAAGGGTATTGTAAATAATTGTTATATGTTTATTTAATCGTGCACTATTTCTTTTGTTTCTATTGGAATGTCATTGGGTGAAGGTTTTGAATATAATTCATGCAGATACTGATTATTTGCACGAGAAGTCAATAAATTGGGAATTACAATATTTACTCCTATGATGAGACTTGGTGCTGGAAATCTATATTTTGTTAAAAGTTATACTACAATTTATTTCTATAAAGACTTTTGGATTTCGTCGTATTTCCTTATATAAGACTTATTTAAGAGAAGAAACAGGCACAAAACCGTGGGTGTCTTTTTTATATTGATTAAGACCCGTAATATTTATAAGAAAATTAATAACATTTACTATTTTCACTTCTGCCTTTTTAAAGTAATTATTATTTGGAATCATAAAAAATACAAATAATTCAAAGATTAACTTTACATTTCTTGTTATATCAATCAACCATCTGTTGCAAAAATCTTATGAGATTATTTTTAATGTTAATATGATAAAATAATATGATAAAAATAACTATAAAAACGATTTTTTCTTAAATTAGTTTTTGTCGATGCTAAAATTACAATCTACATAATTCATTGTTACAATCTATTAATTTTTACCCATTTAAGATACAGTTGAAGATGGTGACAAGATGACCATAATTTATTTAAGGTTTTTTGAATAATTATGTGATATAATAATTAAGTACTGTTAGTGCCTTCTATTATGGGTCTATACTAAAGCTATGGTAATATATTGTTTAAACTTGCTCAATGTACTTGCTATGTAATGACTGTAATGTGTGATAGGGTGAAAATATAGAAGGTTTTTATTTTTTAAAAAGCTTTTGTATTTTTTAGACTTGAAAGTTTTTTTGTTTTAGTATCTTAACATGAGAAGAAAGCGATATAATATCGTATCTTTTTAAATCTTTTGGTAAAACTTTACTTATAAGAATATTAACTACATATTTATTGTTTTCAATGATACCTAATTATTTTGATTTAGAACTACACCTTTTAAGTATTTTATAACTAAAATAAAACTTGTTTGTAATTGCTTAAACGGAAACTGTTAAATAAATATTAATACAACAGGTAAGTATATAATCAATACAGAAGATTTATTACTAAACCTTGCAGTAATACGTCCTACTTAATTTTGGATGCTATTCAAAAAGGAACGATTTGCGCATACTTTGGTGTAACTTATAAACATGGCTCTACTTTGACTAATAAAATTTTTGTAATTTATAAAATACTTAACACTTCATTGACTTATTAAAATTTTATTGAAATATAGCTCACTTCAAGCTTTAATATAGCGAGATTTAAAATTTTAGAAAGCAAATATACTTTTAAACAATTAAGTATCATATATTCAACTTTGAATTGTATGTCTAGGGTGTCAAGGACTATTTTTATATACGACTGTAGTATATACGTTAAAGAAAAACTTGTAAATATTAATTTTAAGTATTTTTGTATCAAAACTGTTTTTAATAAAAAAATATGATTTATTGGAATTCTTGCTTTGTTTTTTTTTATAACATGGTTTTTTTATAACTTGGTTTTGCTACTCCCAGTGCAGTTCTCGAAGAACGGTTAAAACTTTAAAATTTATTTTGTACTAGCTGACCCGACAGACTTCGTCCTGTCAAAAAGATTTGTAATGTGGCAGTTTTTTTGCCTACGTATTTAAAAAAATTCTCCTGAACAGAACCGTCACCCTGGTGATAGGGCGTTGTGAATAAAAAATAATTAAATAAAACATATATAAGGATTTAAAAGTAAGTAATCGCTTTATTGTTAATCATGTGAATCATAATTATATTGCAATGTATTAATAGTAATAGTATTAAATATAGAAAAAGAGATTTTTATGATCATAAAAACACATTACACACAACAGCATTATAAAAGTAAACTATTCGAATTAAAAAAATATATAAACATTCTCAAGGAAAAATGCTGGAAGAATCCATCTACCTGTACCCCGGAATGGGACTCGAACCCATTCGCGATCCAGGGACTGCTCTAACCAATGAGCTATCTAGGACCCAACAGCTTTGCTACTACAGAGCGTATTTTCATCAATGTTCCGGCAATACATGTAATGACGTGGAAACTGATGCATTTTATCTCGCGTGCCGAAACTAATACAAAAGAAACGCGAGTTTCGGAACGCGACATTAAACTCCTCCAACTATGTATTCTGTGCTCCAACGCACACACGCACATTGTTTTGATAGATATGATCTTTGACGTTAGGAACACACCTACATTGCTTAGACAACAGTGAGTGCTTGTAATTTGTATCTTTATACCATAGCAATAAAGCTCAAATTGACTACGTTTTAGTTACAAATCATTTGTATGGGAAAAAGAAAAGGGCTATTTTTAGGGTTTTTCCAGCAATAATTCTAATTTTTTTCGCCGTAAAAACCATCCTTGAACTTCAACGAACATTTTAAAAAAAGATTTGGCCAAATTGGTCGAGGCGTTGTTGAGTTATGCGCTTACCAACACATTTTGCGATTCATTTTTATATATATAGATTAAAAATTGTAGAGTTGTGAGGTTCGATATGTTTTAAATCTTTAAAAAGATTTCTTTTACTGGAAGTAAAATAAATCGGGATTAGGTTTGTAAATCGGGACAAATAAAAATATTTTTGAACCTACTTCAAAAAAAAAAACGTCTCATTATTTTATTAAAGTTTTTAGACGAATACCTTATTTTTTGACGTCCCCTGAAAATCGGGACGTCTGGCCAAAATTGGGACATCAGACAACACTGGATGCAGGTAATAATTGTAAATGTACATTAACACATTAATGTCTGGTATACCAATGACAATTTGGGAAAAAAATTAGGAAAAAATAAATACATATATGAAATTCAAAATCAAATTAAATTCTTTATTTAATGCACAGTCTCTTTACTCAATCGGTATAGTTTCTTTTAGCCAAGGGTGGTAGAGATTACTCCCAATAAGGTCGCCTTTTGCATCTATGTTTCTACTACATGTGTTACGGTGCAATAAAGTACATATTAATTTAAAATAAAAACATCAAATGAGTTAATAACTCGACAATGTTGCATTACTTTACAAAGTTTCAATTGTAACCTTCCAGTTCCATCATCAGTGAAGGGTTTTGCCATAGTCTCCACGCTCGGCAGGCGGTTTGGAGATCGCAATATCAAATATATAATATAACCGAGAGCGTTACTGCCCATTAACTGCTTAGTGTAATTAATTAGAGAGTAGGTCACCACACGGAAAATAAAATAAAACACAACGCTGAGCCTAAAATGTACTTTATTGACTAGCAAAATATTATGCCATTATTATAATAGTATACGCAACGTTCAACTTACAACTAAGAAGCGTTGATTTTAATACTATTGTATACTATATGTGGACAAGGTTCTTCATTATATCTATGTATCTTGGAATAAATTTTAAAACGTATAAAAAAAATAAAAATAAAACTTTTCATTTCAAGTAAAAGCGTTGACAAGAACAGCTTTTTATTCCAAGTTACAATATTTTAAATAAAGTTTTTAACTGCTATACTTATATATTTATACTTAGTTATAAAAAAATCTTTTTTTTTCTTCACCATTCAAATTACGTATATCCGTTGCACCGTATAGCATAGTTGTCGATATTTTTTTTTATATACATACATAGTCTAAATATCCAAGGCCCTAATTATGATTGATATATGTATAATGTAATATATACAGGTAAATCATGCTCAGATTAACAAATAAACATTCAATCAAAATTATGTTTGTTTGCTCATCAATTTTTCCATTATACTATGAAAGTTACGACAGCCGTTATTTACTAACATAACCAAAATATCTTTAAGATTTAATTAAAATTGTTCACTGTAACGATTGGCCAAAATGACGATTAAGCATTTTAAACACTTGACTATCGTATAGCTTGTGTAATGTAATGAAGCTTGTGTAATTACAAATTAATAGAGAAATAAGTAATTTTAAATGGAAGACATTCAACGTTTACATATTTGTTACAAAAAAATATCAATTGCGTTTAGTATAACTAGATAAGAAATTAAATCATAACTAGGACCGTTATTTTTCCAAATGAACTTAAAAACATTTTATATTGGAATCTTTGACGTGATGCTCAAAAAAGTGAAATTATAAAATAATATTAAAAAAAATACAAAAGATTTTATATTTATTTGTAAAAAGAAACATAATATTTCTTGGTTTTATTAATTCAAATAATTATCCATTTAAATGGTAATGGCAAATGTCAATTTTTTTAAGCAATCCGAAACTCATATTTTACTTAAAAAACTACAAGTTTCTATTAAAATTTTAACAAAATAAACATTTACACCTAACGTTAACATTTCTGATTATTATTTTACAGATACGTATACAATTTTGAATCGAACAGTTTTAATTTTCAATGAGTATACTTGAGTTTATTATTTTCATCGTATAATTATTTCGTATAATCGTTTCAAAAGAGGAGAAGGAAGAGATATATAAAACAGATGTATTAAATGAATTACTAAAGAACAACAAATAAAAATAAAAAATCTTTGTATGTATATGCTCTTCCCTCTAAATGGCAAATACACTAAGGTATCTAAAATCTAATATGGCTTGTAAATAACAAAAAAAGCTAATTACAATGAGTATGTATAATATGTAAAACTTATTACTTTATACAATTTAAATAAATACAATCTTGTTCTATGGACGGTATTATAGTTTTATTTTGCTTGTGGTAAAAATATTCTTATGCTATTTCAATAATATGTCAGTCGGCTAATGTGTGGAAGTTAAAACGGAATAGGGAAAATCTAGCATTAGGTATTTTTCACAACCGGTTTAAGAAATTGACCACACGATCAAAAATTTTGTATAATATAGCCTGGTCTTTTTTTTAGTCCCCGAGTGTGATGTGATTTTCTTATATGACCAACTTTGTCATATTATGTTATTACCAAATTGATTTATTTTCTTTTCAAAGTTTCTGATTGGTGGAATCCATCGAGACTAGTATATACCTTAACTTAGATATCCACAGAAAAAAATTTTTACAAACAAAAATATTATTACTAACTTAAAAACTAAAAAAAAATCAAGAAGTGTTTTCTAAATGTGCCAAATATTTTTATTCTTTAAGGTTTTGTAAACGGAACATAATATAGATTTAAGAAATATTATAATTATCTACTCAATCCTGGTAAACCAGAAATTCGTTACTGTAACACGCATTACTGGACTATAATATAATATTTAATTAATTCATTTAATATGTAATTGTAAGCTTCAAATTCGAAGGCAAGTTTATTTTGGCCTCCTAAAAGTTGTTCTAAAAGTCTCATCATTTATCAAGTTCCAAAGTCATCAGTTTTTTACAATTATTTCTGTCTATATCGATTTAGTGATGTTGTATTTAATGATATTACAAAGCCATTGCAAGAGGCTCTTAGAAATCAAGTTTTTCACAATGCAGCAATGCGTGTAGCGAATCAAGGATGAGTAAAACTATGATGTTTTGAGGTATAACGCGCAGCATGTTCGTTTAACTTTTAGTTAAACCAAAATGGCGACTGCGCAGTAGGATATTTACGGATCTCAATGGAGGCGCGGAGGTGAAGCGCAGCGTGGCAACGCGGTATACCGGTGGGGGAATTCGCGATTTAGGTTCAACTCACGTAGCTCGTATTACACAGATATTAAAACGCATTCATTCACAATTTACAAATCTGATATAGCGTATCGTATTGCTTCATTATTACTTTATAAGTAAAATTACCATCTCGAGGACATAAAAAAGATTTTTACCAAAACAAAACCGTTATAACATCTACAGGCTGATTCTTTTACAAGATTGGCCAATCAGTAATTTTTTTTTTTAAATATATTAACATAAATGAATTTATACATAACAAAATCTTCCCATCAATATTTTTATAAGTAATACTAAAGACAAATTATTGCGACACAGTCAATAAAGAATCAGCCTTCTCAAACAAATTACGTTTATTTACATAATATAATTATCTTTCGATACAATTATATAATATTAAAAATTTTAAAATATTTGAGGTATGGATTACGTATACGCGGTTACCGAGCAATAACTATAAATGACATTATACAAATTATCTATGATTTACAAATTGATTTCGAATATGATCAATTAAAATAAATTACAAGGTATTTATTATAAAAAAAAGTAGAGAAGATAGAGAGATTGCAATACCCCATCTGTCTCTCTTTCTACATTCATGCACAGTAAAGGACAGTTTTAAAACAAACAGTCAAATTAATCTGCTATGCTTCCTATCCGCACTAAGGACGCATGTGTGAGTGGAGAAGGAGAGATAGAGCACCGCAATCTTCTCACTCTCTCTAACAGTCGGAGCTGACATCTGCCTGCTATAAGTCAACAACTTAAATATTGTGCGTTTTTTTATCATAGACATGATTATGTTATAGTTAATCTAACAATACTGTCCGTACATGTGCATTGTTAATAAAACAGTACTTATTTACATTTTAATTTGTGTTAAAAAAATTAAAAATAATACTTAATATGAGTATCGATTTGAAATAAATTAAGTACTAATAATACCACTTATATTTACGTTACTTAACGTTTCGTTTTAAATATTTATAAATGTAAGATTCGGTCATGAGGACAGTAGTTTCATGACTTTATTGACGAGCGCCATCTGTTGGAGCGAAGTGGCAATTAGGGGCACAAGAGCGCAGTCTTCTACTTAACAATAAGCTAACTAAACAGACTTAAAGACGAAATTCAATCAAACTGCAAAAAAAAAAACCTAATCTTCATTACGTTCTTTACGAGCTAAACGTGTTTTTGTTTTATCATTTGTCGTAATAACGTTCTCAATAGTTAAACTTGTATCAGTATATAAAGATACAACTTCCATATTAATTTACATAATTTATATTACAAATATCATTATAGTTATTGCTCGCGTCTATACTATACTAAATATAAAGATTTTCCTTATAATATGGTATACTGTTCGTATTTTTTGTCTTTTGAGATAAAATTTTAGAAAATGACAGTGTTATGTTGTAATATAGATATAATATACGCACATCGCGTTGAAGTTAATGCTAATTATTTCTGGGATTGTCTATAATTAGGTTATACAGTGTAATAATTTTGTAATGACTCATTTTTACATAATATCATACGGAATGTTTTTAACACAAACTCTTTAAGAGTGCACCTAAAGCAAATCAATGATGTTACGTTTATTTTAAATTTTGTTCGGGTTATACCGAAATGATTTGGTAAATGATAATATTTGATTGAATATAAACTGTATATTTGGAAACAACTATTAACACTAACTAACACGTATGAATGTATGATTGAATGTATGAGTACGCGTAGCGCTCTTGGTGGCTGATTACGAACTGAATTTATGATATTTAAGTAATTATAATGACGACTGAACGAATTTGGGTCAAGCGGTGTAAATGCTGACAAGACAATGTACGCGCTTGCTCGTACAAATTTATATATTAACTATTTATTTTAACGAACCAATGTTATAATAAATTCTTAAATTTGGTTCGTAACAAAATAAATGGTTGTCTCTGAAATTCAAAAGTACTCAATTTCTTTAGGCAATTTAATTCTTTGTTCGTAGTCAACGTAGATTTCACTTCGAATTCAAGAGTTAACACGAATTATTGAATAAAAAAGCCTTTTCATAAAGGCTTGTTTAGAATTCTTATGGTTAGGTTATTATACTTTTATCTTTAATGCAACCCAAATATAAAGCTAATAATTAATTTAATACGTTCCATCTCTATCTCCCTCATCATTAACAAGTAAGAACAGGGCGCAAAAATAATATATAATTACTTTCCAGCGTTAGACGGACTCTTAAGAGATTGTGATGGAACTTTAATACTGTTGTGATTAAACATAAATATTTACGTTTTAAATAATGTTGGTTTGTTTGAATAAGTCAATTGTATTAAAATATACATTCTAAGTAATTGTTTTTAACTTATTTTTCAACAACGATGAGGGTAAATTATAAAAATTACAGATAATTAACTTTATGAAGACTGTCATAGTTAAGTGTCATGCGGTTACAATAATTATCAATATTAACAATAGTACCGATTGGTGAGAAAACTGGGTACTGTTAACAACACATCGAGCGTGACGTAACTGAAGTAAAGACCCTTGCTATTGCGTTCATTATAAGGTCAGGATCAATTAGATTTCCAGTCGCCTTTATTTACTGGTAAACTATTCGTTTATAAGTTTAGCACACAGAACTACGGGGTTAACGGGGTGTTAGTAGTAGGGTTAACCAATCAGCACATCGGCTAATGCAAAGCCTTATCTATATGGTATGTTACGTTCAAAGTCGATTGTGTATCTCTGACATATTATGGTAACTTGATATGGCGCTGTGTAAAATGAACGGATTAAAACATTTTTTTTTTATAATTAAGGCTATATTGATGTTTATATTTTCCCCAAATGCATTGAAATTGCATGAAGATCATTTATTACTATTAAAGAAGATGAAATAAAATGAGTTGTGGACACATTTATAATCCATCCAATACACAGTTGAGAGAGTTGTTTCAACATCAGATAATCTTTTAATTTATACCTGAATAGAGCAAAACAGGCCTATATTAAGTATAAGTAACTATGGACATTTATTAAATCAAATTGTGATACTAGCACTGTCTTGTAACGGATGGAAACTTGAGGTTTCACGTGAGAAAAAGCATTTACATTTTTTTATCCAAAACTTATCTCTTTATATCTTACCTTAACATTCAAGATTGCATTGTGGACATAGGTTTCACTAAACTAATTAGTTTTCTCAAAATCTTGCCTTAGTTCCCATAACTGATAAAAAATCACAAAAATGTTATAATCATATCCAATACGTATGGTGTTCGTTTATCTCATTTATATTGTGACTTTTAATTAGTTAAACATATGTTATATCGAGAAAGTGAGTAAACAATATAAATAATTGCGAATTATGAACGGGAACGCAAACAGGTCACCTCTCTCCTGTGGACTTATCCACATTCCACAGTTATAGTACAAAAAGGAGTCTTATAATACGGAAGACTAGGCTGTATGGTAAGGTATCCCTTTGCCTTAAAAGAAATTGCTACTTTTAAAAGTAACTGATAAGAAATGTTTCAGTTTTTTTTAACAAAATCATATTGTTTACCCCAAAAAAATTATCGATTCCGTGTGCTAAACTTACTATTGAATATGTACCTAATGCATCGGCTGTTGTAGAGGCGGGAAGTTGGAGGGCTCGTGACTCTCGTCCGAGCGGGTCTCAGGTTCGTTGTCAGACTGCTCGCCGTCCTGGTCCTCGTCTTCCGACGATGATAAAAGACCTGGGAATATTGTATAAATCTATTGAGTTGGTATGTACATGGATAGCGTTAAATGCATGCACGGTAACTGTTTAAAAAAGGCATAATTAATTTTAGAGAGTACTTTGGAACTGTTGAAACCAGATATTTTATTTTTATTCCACAGAATATTTCCCGAGATAAAAACTTTCGTATGTCCTTCAAAATTTCATTAAAATTGGTTCAGTTTAGGCGTGAACTGGTAACAGACATGCAGAGAGAAATAGACACACAGGAGGACACATACAGAGTTATTTTGAAATTTATAATATTTGTGTATGTAAGTGTAGCTCGGTGGCGTAGTGGATAAGCGCCGCGGCCCGCGATCGTAGTCGTTAAACAACTTTCGCAAGGGTCGGTCACAGGATGGGTGACCAAAAAATTATTATCTCGAGCTACTCCGTGCTTCGGAAGGCACGTTAAGCCGTTGGTCCCGGCTGCATTTGCAGTCGTCAATACCCTCCAATCCGCATTGGGCCAGCGTGGAGGGTCATGGCCCATCCTCCTTAACCATCCATAAGGAAGGCCTGAGCCCCTACAGTGGGGACGTAAAAGGGCTGGTGGTGGTGGTGGTGGTATGTATTTGACAGACTGATCTATCAACGCACAACTCAAACTATAGAAGGAAAGAATCTAAACAGTTTAAAAATCATGTAAACCATAAAGACAAATTCCGAAACCTAGTTATCTTTACAAATAAAGGAGTCTGTTTGTAATGTTAAGATAACTGCTTTTACTAAATGCATATTTGTAGTGTATGCACGGTACATATACCAAAATAACATTTTTAGTCTATCTGTCGGTTCTGACCAAACTTTGCAACGAATGGACAGATTTTGACGGTACTTTCACTGACAGCTTATGTAATAAGGAGGGCAGGCAACTTTCCACACGAACCAAGTCGTGGGCACAGCTAACTTGCTGTGTTTTTCTCAATATCTGTTTATTTATAGTTATAAACAACATCATATACATTGTTTAGGCCCCATATAGTAGCTAAAGTAGCTAAATCCCTTGTCTGTTACTATCCGCGTTATGAGTGAGTTGCTTATGTATAATATAATGTGTAGCAATATTCTAGAAAATTCGTTTGCAAAGTGATACTGTTATAATAGTAGGCATTATATTTACCTGCTGTGAACTGTGGATTGGAGAGTGCGTCGGGCCAGTACCGTTTATTTATTGAAGAACCGTTTTTACTTTTCTTGCCACCTGCAAAATGTTAATTAAACCTTTGAATAAGTTAAAGATGCGTGTAAAAAGTCTATTCCGCTTGAACTACGATAGTTTTGCATAATAAAGCGAAGATAAGATTTGATCTCTTTTTTTTAAGAGGAGTTAATTTATGAATGTGTCTTCTTAGGACACGTATACTAAACGCTAAGTGTGAGTGAGACAAAAACCTAATGCACTACGTATTTACACCTTATGGTTATTGAATTAAGACTCACTGTGCCTCCGTTCGTTATTGGCAGGTCTGCCCCGCGATTCTGTAAAAATCCAGACCCGAATTCGAAATCACTCATGTGTCCGAATTCACGTCATTTAGTGTAAAAATTCTATTGATTCCATTTTTTTGTATAAAAATACAAAACAAAATTGATTGAATACACGTGTCTCAGATATTCTATTCCTATATCATTTCGAAACTCACTTCACTTATGTCATGAAACGTTATTACCAATTCAAGGTTGAGCGTATGCCTCTTTTTGAAGTCAATTTGGACACCTGAGAGAATTCGAATTCGGGTTTGGAGTTTTACAGAATCGCAGGGCAGCTCTGCGTAAGCGAGCATTCACCATGCGCGATATTACTTAGTTGGAACTTTAACTAAATTTACATTGCGAAACTAGCGACACGCAATTAAAAACAAGTTTCACGAAACTAATTTCGGCACATGTTTAACTACATCCGTGATGACGTAGAATGAAACTATAATGCACAGAAGGCGTCGTGATACTAATTTCGCATCTACTAACGATGTTAATGCAATGAAACTCATGCAACTACTTTCGTAATACAAATTCGCCATTACAATTCGAATCGTAGAGAAATATACCTGGTTTATCTGCACAGTCAAGCATTGGCTGTAGTATGCGTCGACGGGCGTTTATGAACCAATTGTTCACTTGCAGTAGGGTGAGTCTCGTCTGTGCTGCTAGAGTGCGCTTCTCCTCTTCTGTAGGGTACGGGTGCTGGAGTAATATAAGAAAATAAAAATTTAAAAGCATGCAGAACATTTTTTTTTTTCTTATCAACTTCAAAAAAGATTCCAATTTCACTAAATGTTTTACAGTTTTTTTTTTTATTCGAAAAAATAATTCAAGAGGATCGGATAAGCAGTGTTTGTAAACCATGCACGAAAAAACAATTATCGTTTTAAAAACTAAAACCTACTTTAAAATTTTATAACTATAAGAAATAATTCTTGTAGTTTAACAAAGGAATATGAGTAAAAAAATAAAATATCCTTTGTTATTCTTACAAGCACTTTCAAAATCGAGATTTCTGAACGTCTTGGCTGACAAGAAACGAGCGAAAGAAACTTACCAGCACTTCAGAAGAATGTTGGAAGGAACGACATTTACATTAACCAAGTCATTAGCAAAAAGGTAAAACAATTTTTCTCAAGAAACTTCATTTGAAGTCGGGCCGTTGATTACCAACACTACTTACTAATACTAGTCTTATCGGATGTGATGAAATTATGATTTTAGAAACTCTTTCCACAGTCAGTCAGTATCAGCAAGACCTGCTGATTATTGCGAGATCTATTGCCGTCAGTGAATCTCTGCAGGGGCGGTGCACAAACGTGGTATGTATATCCCACCACCAGTGTACCATACTTTGGTATACTGGTGGTGGGCGTGTACACTGGTACAGTGCACCAGTGGTGGGGCATACGTACCACGAGGTGCTGGAACAGCCAGGCGCGCATGGCCTGCGTGGCGTGTACACTGGTACAGTGCACTAGTGGTGGGGCATACGTACCACGAGGTGCTGGAACAGCCAGGCGCGCATGGCCTGCGTGGCGTGTACACTGGTACAGTGCACTAGTGGTGGGGCATACGTACCACGAGGTGCTGGAACAGCCAGGCGCGCATGGCCTGCGTGGCGTGTACACTGGTACAGTGCACTAGTGGTGGGGCATACGTACCACGAGGTGCTGGAACAGCCAGGCGCGCATGGCCTGCGTGGCGTGTACACTGGTACAGTGCACTAGTGGCGGGGCATACGTACCACGAGGTGCTGGAACAGCCAGGCGCGCATGGCCTGCGTGGCGTGTACACTGGTACAGTGCACTAGTGGTGGGGCATACGTACCACGAGGTGCTGGAACAGCCAGGCGCGCATGGCCTGCGTGGCGTGTACACTGGTACAGTGCACTAGTGGCGGGGCATACGTACCACGAGGTGCTGGAACAGCCAGGCGCGCATGGCCTGCGTGGCGTGTCGGGGCAGCACGCCGCGCTTGCCGGCCGCGTCCTCGCCCTCCTCCTCGGGGGGCGGCGACCCGGACACTGACGAACACGAGTTATTCGAGTTCGTACCTAGAACAAAAACAAAGCGGTAACATAAAAAATCATTCTTAATATTACTGAAGGTGAGGAAACCAGGTAAATAAGGTCTTTGTGGGAATACCATTTTTTTAATTTATATTATGACAAAAATAAAAAACAAAAACTTGTTATTCTATACCTATATAAAAAATATGAATTCATAAATAAAAGAGGTGCTCTATCGGGCACACTTGTTAGTTTAGTGTAGTGTAGTTAAATCATGCATGTGTTTTCTTTATCACACGGTTAGACATCATCTGCTTATTACCAGAGCATACACCCTGTTCTATCTGATTCTTTCAACCTATTTTTGCTGAGATGAGCGAGGTGGATTCTACAAATACGATACTCTGGTTCTTGTGCGATATGTGCTGAAGCTCGGGAAAGTACTTCTAGATATCTCCAATATTGTACGATCTACAGACATGAGTTCGAGGTCGTAGTCCATGCTACGCCGTAGTAGTCGTAGTCGTATTCGTAGTATAACCACAGAATAAAAAGTAAACAATGACGCCACAAAATTAAAAACAAGTGTCACGAAACTAATTTAGAAACATACCATACCTATTCGACATAGCACAGCTAATAGCATCTCCGAGACACTGGCTCCATCAACATCGAAGCTTTACTATGCGCAGATAGTGTAGCAATACTACTATCACCATGTAAAATTAGTTGCGTGATACCAGTATAGACCAAAAATATGCGCATTATACGAAATTACTTTGGTATCGTGATACTCATGCATGCATTGTGAGACCGGACGTTAACACGTGCAACTGCTAGTGAAATTAATGAAATTAAACTGATTCATGTAACTAATTTCGTAAAAAAAAATATGAACGTTAAAAGCAAACGACACATATCCCTACCCTCTACATATACACACGCGATATACACAATCAGTGCCATTAATAAACAAGGTATAGCATCACAGTTAGTATTAGTCCAAATTCATATTTTACAGAGAATAAGCAAACCGTTCTTGGAGTAAACATTACACCTATAAAACCTTTGCTTAGTTTCTGTTTAATAATATTAATTAAAACTAATACTAAGTGGAGGCTCAGCATATATTTACTTTAAACCTAAACCTTATTTATTAATAACAATATCTACGTATAGACCTCTGTATCGTTTATATTGATTACTTAGACCGAGAGCTCGTGACGAATAATGCAAGAGGTTTCTATAGCTTGATATTTCACCATGTTGTAGCACTAAAGGTATTACATCATTCAGTATCCAGTGCAAAGGCACGCTACACCACCTCAACATGTTATTAAAGTTTTAATATGTATTTTATTTGTTTAAGTGCTTCAAAACAATTGAACCACTTCACTGGGAAAATTGAAAAGGAAGTCATAAGCTAAACTGTCCAACAGACAGACAAGGAGGGATACAGCGTTGAAAGAAACAAACTGTGCTAACAAATTTGTTCAATTGAATTGAATAAAATATAACTAAATATGAAATATATTTTAAAATAAGTAGGCGAGCATAATTTATGAAGTAAAAACCAAACTCACCAGTGAAAGAATCTGTCGGTAACAGTCCAGCGCCGATCTGACTTATCGGAGTCGAACCTTGGACCACCAGTGACGCTGAAAACATATTACAATTTCAATTTATATGAATTTGACAATGGGGTTGTGGGGTATTGCCAACTCGGTATTGTGGAATTTCGAAAGAATACTATTGATTCTTTAAAAAAAATTTGTTTGAAATATTTTCCAACAACATTGAACATTCTCATTATTATTTCAGTTATGGCGAATGACATTTTACTGCAAAATAATGTAAAGCTATATTTTAAACCCACAATTAACATAAAAAAGTGATAGTAACAGGAAATCATAATACTTATCTTGGAAAATTTATCAATAATTATCGATCAAATATAACTTCATATTATTACGAACAGGTAAACTATAGGTAACATTGGTAAACAACAGGTTAATTAATTAGTCAACTTGAAATTAATATTAGTCAACAAAAGGTTAAAACTGGTCAACTTATGATTACTACTGATATTAGTAAACTATATGCACAACGATACATGTCGCGTTTTGAAGTAAACGATACTCACGTGGTTCCCTCGGGTGAGGCGGGAACGGCAGCTCGGGATGCGGCGGGAACACCGCGGGGTACGCCGCCGGCGCCGACCCCGACTGACAACCAGCAAAATGTTCTACTTAATTTGCACATTGTGACCAAGTTATATACTAATTATAGGTTTATGGTATAATACTGGCTTTCCGCCCGTGGCTTCGCTCAATCGCACTTCGTATTTACATCGCTTACTTCAACCCTTTTGAGGATATTTTGCGCAATAAAACTATACCTATGTCTATTCTCAAGGTCCATTCTAATAAAAATTTCATTAAAATTGGTAAGACATAAGGATTTACTATTTTTCAATCGTTTAATAGCAAAAACACGCAAACCTTTTTTCTATTCCTCATACTTTTATGTATCCCTTGAATAAAGGCTTGGTAAAATATTAATATCAAAATTTCAAAATAAGCTGTAGCACACACACGAGACATAGTAGATAGGGTTGGTTGTGTGACAGTTTTCTCTCTGATTAAATATCTCAAACTCGCAAGACCTATGTCCCGACTTTTATTTACTTATTCTTCTCATGGTATTGACAAACATTAAATAGATCTTACAATAAAACATTGAAAACATATTTATAACATGTACTGGGAGTACCTCCACACGGTGAATGGAGTAACAGATAAATATTGGCTAAATTGATTATAGTCTCGCTATCCTGACACTGACGGTCGACTGTGAGACGTTCTTCTCTCTCAATTAGGGACTTGCGGTTAAAATTCCACGCGTTTGTGTCAGTTTTATGTAGTTATGTAGCGCCTAACATAAAAAACTAGCCAGGGCAAGTCGGACTCGTGCACGTATGGTTCCGAACCGGATACGAGCATGAAAATTATGTTTGTTGTATCACCACTTCCGCCCCCTTAAATATTTATTTTATTCTGGTTTTTAGTATTTGGGAAAATTTCAACTGTCTAACTTTCACGATTAATGAGATACAGCCTGGTAACAGACAGACAGATAAATAGACAGCGAAGCCTTGTTAATAGAATTCACGTTTTACCCTTTGGCTTCGGAACCCTAAAAATTAACTACACAGCAATTTTAATTTGATTGATTCAATTCAACGTATATTTCTTCACACAACCTCGTTTACAACTGCCTATAATGGTAGTTTGTCTGAAATTTCTCCTATAAGGGAGGCCTATTTTGAATTAGTATTATAAGTATTTCAATTTCGTCAGTTTTGGCGGCTGCCGAGTGGAACGGGAGACGAGCCGCATACCATCTTTATACATTCACCATTTTACACATTTATTTTATCAAGTAATTAATTGTTAAATACTTCAGGAAATTACCTAAGCAACAATTTATCAAAATGTTTCTTTACGACTTAACGGGTTTAATTAAAAGACAACTAGTCTTTACTATAAATAAATATTATAAAGAGGAAAATTTTGATTGTTTGTTGGTTTGTTTGCATTGAAAAGGATACTAAACTACTGGACCGATTTTAAAAATTCTTTCACCTACGAGAAGCTATCACACGCGGGCGAAGTCACGGGAAGACATTTAATTCCTTACAATATAAAATGTACACAATAAAATGACATACATTTCATACCTGGTACTGTGGTGAATTGGATGTGCTGGAGTGATCGTCCAGTGATCCGGACAGGTTGTTGTTGCTCTCCACGCCACCTGTAAGTAATACAAAATATTAAATAAAAGTTTTTGTTCGATATTATCATGGACCAGAGACCTTGTATAGCAAAATCAATCGAGGCCAAACTTACTGGGTGTACTGGGTGGCGTCCGTGTCTCGAAAGAGGAAAGGGGCTAGTTGAAAATCAGCTTCAGTGTCACTTACAAACGCTGAACTAGATGCCCTTTGCATGCAGGGACACTATCTTTTTATTTTGTTTGTCTATTACTTATATATATTATGACTGGTGTTAAATAAATGTATTTTCATTTGAAAATTGTCAGTGTTACGTTATTTGATTATAAAGTTCCCATGACTACCTTCCAGTTTAAGTATTGGAGCCTGGATATTATCTTGGACCGAAATCCTTTTCAAGATAAATTAAAATAGTCAAAAATTAGATTCCCCTATGCATAGCATCAAATAGCATCAATGTGGATAGGTGGGCATTGAAGACTGTAGATGCAACCGGGACTAACGACTTTATGTGCGTATAAATGTACGTCACCCATGTTATGACCAGCCCTTGCTATAGTCGCATAACCAACGCATCACAGGCCGTACGTGACTCACCGCCAGTATAATCCGTTCTCAGGAGATTCTCACTCTGCATTTTAGTCTTGAGACAGGCGATGTACCGACCGCAAAAGTCGCGGCACAACTCCTGCACTTTCTCCAGCTCTAGCAGATGGATCCTTAACACCTGGAAAAAATCACAACACTATATCAGCCTAAAATGCCCTTTGTATAAGACATTTACAATTCTTTGTGTGTAAGCCTAAGTTAATCGTGACATTTTAAATCTATGGCTGGTTAATGGTTAAGCTTTCTTCGGAAAGTCTCCCTCTTATGCTGTATATGGGTTACTATAAAAGTCGAAATTACGGTAAATTTTAAGATTTCCATCTTAAAACTTAGATTTACCAGTGTTTGACAGTAAAAGCTCGAATTGCTCTGTGATCGTTTCGAACTTTTATCATCAGTAAATCTTAGCCCAGTCCCTAAAGTTTTTTTTTTATAGTTTCTGGTGTCTCCTTTGAATTACATGCAATATTCACCTGAATGCTTTTTATCATCAGGCCGTCTATCTCAGGGTCGTCAACTAGGAACGGCCTCCTATCTCTGCGCTGGTGCTGCACGAACGCTTGCAGGTCGGCGCCGAACGCGTCCGCCGCTGGGGGCTCTGCCCCCGCCGTCGCTTGTTCGCATCTCTCCAGCAGGAGAGCGAGGAGAGGGAACAGTGGATGTCTGGAAGGAATCATTATTTGTGCTTGTAACAAATCTACTGTCAACGATCTCTCTACGAAACTTTAACTTTGGTGACATCACACGACCAATTTCTACAGAAGGGAAAGGTATAAACATTTCTGTTTCTTCTTATGAAATTACTGAAAGTGCAAATTAGGGCAGAAGACTCGGTTTTATTAAATGTTCCCACAACTGGGGTATTAAATCTTTCCTATGCACAGATTTGTATAGCATCGGAATAGGGGTGGGCTATGTATGACTCACCACGGCCCAGAGCGGACTGGTTTCGCTTTTCCGTTGATTCTTTCCGAACCAAGGAGGACGTCGAGATTATTTTTGGTTACCCATCCTGCGATCGGCCGTTGCAAAAATGTCTTCACTTCCACACCGCACACCGCAAAGCTCCACAAAGAAAGGAAAAGAAAGAATAATAATAATAATATTATACTGACTTGTACACAGCTCGCTTGTCGGCCTCGAACTGCGCCTGGTCGGCGTCGGCTGCGGGCGCGCCGCCGCCCTGCATTCCGACTATCACCACTTCCGCCGCATCTGGTGATATAAACTAACATTTTAATAATCTATATGTTTATAAGCAGTGTACGCTAGATGGCGTTAAGTATATTTCTATAACGCATTGTTATTTGTTCAAGGTTGAATTTTTAAATAAATTTTGTAAGAACGTTAAGCTTTGTTTTACTAATGAGTAGCTCGGTGGCGTAGTGGATAAGCGCCGCGGCCCGCGATCGTTGTTGTTAAGACCGCAAGGGTCGGTCACGGGATGGGTGACCAAAAAAAATTATCTCATGCTAAAGCTTTTGATGTCTTCGATGTTGAACATCTAAGTCGTTTTACTCAAATATCGCGGATATATTGCTATTAATAAAATTCAAATTTTAATAAAATTAATACTTGTGTTCCATACAGTTAACCAGTCCCCTGGGCTTCGTACAGCCGCACTGTAGAAGAACGTTATGATGGTTACTCAACTTATCGACGATTAGCCCTGCAAATGAACGCCGCCATTCTATTATAGGGCTAGTCGCCTAATTGGAAGGATGTTTTACCCAGTTGGCTACGACATATTCATTATTAATATTAACAATTTAAATTTTGCCTTTCAATTTTAACAGCTGTGAGTTTAAAAGCCGACCAAGCAATAGTGATTTATATTGTTCTTAGTCTATTTATTTCAGTAACTGTCTGACAATCACTCACCCATCACTAAATTTCAGAAAGTACAAAAGCCAAGAGTTCAAAATTTTGCAAACATGTTCTTTTTACCCGACTGAAAAATAACGGCTATGTAATATTCTTTAGTATCTCATATCTCCAGAAACGCTGAACGGATTTACATAATTAAAGTATCGTTAGATTTGTCTTAGCAGCCTAAGTGTTTTTAAAAGGTGTCGTTAAAGAAACATAATACGGCATCTGTGCGACGCCACTGTACTTGGATCAACCACGAGGATTTAAAATGTCTATCATCAACTTCATGATAATGAAAGTACTACAATGAGAAAGTTAAAAAATATCGACTTTGCTCTTTCACTTTCTGAATCAACAAAGACGCCATATCCAACAATGGCGCCGCTAGTTGGAAATCCCATTCTATATAAGCTCAGGGGCTCACGATAATTTCAGTGCTAAATACTAAATTATAAGGTATTGTCTGTTATCCAAGTTATTTAGTCAGTCATAATCATAATATTCGACATGTGGTGCTGCACAACTACTCTGGACCTTCCTGACGACAAAGGAGGTCGACGATACTCCCCGATAACAATATTCACTGGCCAGCAGGTTTAATCCTCAAATCTCAATGTCAATTAGTTCATTTAATTCGATATTGAGCCGATTGGCGCTAAAATAATCAAAGAGTACAAAACGCACAATCACAATGTCGATAGACGGTTATTGGAGATTAAGAGTAAGCATGCTGAAAAAATCACAATTGCCTATAGAGATAGTCCAGGACAGAATCGCCTGGCGCATATACGAAGAGAACCAACCCCATATAATGAAAACAGGGGCAGAAGATCAGTCATAATACCTATTATCATATAAAAGGACATCGTGTTTGTTTTTTCATGTTTTGACGTTCGAATAAACTTCAGCTGCAGGGGGGAGACCATGCTTTTGGCATACTACATAATATACAATCAATACTAAAATCGTCTCAAATTTTGAATCATGCATTTTCCTTTATATATAGCTCATCCTATCAGCGAAAGTTTGTGAGGATGTTTGCATCTATAATGAGCTCACTCTTGACCCCAGTCTAGCCCAAGGACATAGATAAAATCTACAGTGGGACGCGCTTGCCCAGAAGAAACCAATTCACTATTGCCTTAATAAATAGGTCTGGGTTATATGCACACGGGAATATAGAGTTAACTCTATATTTTTAATTTGGTATACAGATAATTCTAAACCTAAATTAACGTACAGGCTATTTTTTATGCCACGTGTAAACCACGCTAGCGAAGAAAAGCTAGTAAATAATATAATAATATAGTATAAGATATTATCACATTTATTCCCACGGGAATATATAAGACTCACCTATATTTAAATGTAGTCGAATACGAAAAATAACTTTCAAGTCTCATATTACAAAAGTTTCGAACGTAACTCGTTTTGTTTTGATCCCACCTCGCGATGGAAACTCGGTAATTATGACATAAACATTTATTAAGATATTCTTTTAAATATACCTACATTAAAGCAAAATCATACTCCTTAGGTTTATAAAACAATAATCGCGAAAACAAGTAAAATTCCGTATTTATAGAAATTAACTATTGAGTTATTATTACTGAAAAATTATCTTTATAACATTATAATATTTATTTCTCTACGCCATTTATGGTGTTGCAATATCTGACGTCTCAGGTTTGGTTCTCGGGCGGGTCATTGACTTTTCTATGATACATTAAATGTTTCAGATTTCCAATAAACAAGTGCTTTAGCTATTGAGTAATTTGGGATTTAAGCAATGTATTAATATCGTTTGATATTTATTAAACATATCAAACAACATAACATACATTGCTTAATAAGATAATTACTTTCAAATTACTAACCGAATCCCCTATTAATAAAACCATGTAATAAAAAAATGAAACAACGAAAAACTACCAAGTACTAAGTACTTACATTGGTAAATATAAGTTGGCAACACAGCCGTAACTCCGCTCACGAACTCGCGGGCAATAAAAACAGATATTAAAAGCACAACGCGTCTAGAGATCGCATTCATCACAAGTGTTGCCAGTAGATTGATATAAAATACCCCCGGTTTCTTGGCCTTATGCTTTTTTGGGGTGTATACAAAATTAATTTCGTCGGATTGACTTTTGAAGAGGGATGAGAAAGGGATTACACACTTACAACCTTAATTATAGCGTCACCAGGTTATTAATCTTGCTTTCAACAAATAGTAGATAGATCTCTTTCAGCGATATTTATTACTAAATACTACAGCAAGCGCATCACAAAATGATAAGCTCATAGGAATAATCATACCCGATATTAGACATTATGTAGTCAAAATAGCATTTAATCAAAAATCTAAAAACATATAAAAATAATACTTATCTCAAAAGCAATTTATTCAAGAAAATGCTATTGTAGTCGGACGGAAATTTTCTGTAGGTTATTAATTAATTAATAGGTTATTACTATGAGAAATAAGTAATATTTCTCATTTTTTTAGGTTTAAAGTCGGTTCTATTTTTTTTTAAGTTGTTTTATGTCATGCTTTTTAGTGATATTGATATTTCTATATATTAGGTAACACTAAAAATACTTTTTTGAAAAATGCGTCAAATTAATATACCTAAAACCTGACATAAGCTTTCAAATAAAAAAGAATCAATAGGATTGCTTCACCCTGTTAAAAGTTTTGAGGTAACAAACATCACGCATACTTAATGCAAATTTAAGACATATGGTTTTCTCCTAGATGCCATTGACAGATCTGGACCAAATTGAAATGTGACCACACGGCAAGCACTAGCTTTCAAATAAAAAAAATATAATCAAAACCAGTCTACCAGTCAAAAGTAATAAGATAACATACAGAAAAAAAATATAGTCGAATTGAAAACCTCCTCCTTTTTTTGAAGACGATTAATGAATATAAACCCACTTAAATCTGTCATCATCTCCAACAATAACGTCCCCACTGCTGGGAATGTAAACAAACACTTGTGAAAGTCGAAAAATATGCCATCGCTTCGCAAATCTACGGCGGAAGACGTTGGACTGAGAAAAATCGGCAAGAAAGAGCTGCTTTTTTCTCTTGTTTTATTTTACATAAAGAAGTTCAATTCAAAATTACTTCATTAGACTATGAAGTCACTTTTCATAACAATAAAAAATTTATTGGAAAAATGGATTGCTTAGATAATACCCACAAACCGCCATATTGGATGCAAACTTGGCAAAACAAAGCGCGCGCCAATAAATCGACAACTTTGCGCTTGTCTATGGTACGTGTGTATTGTTGTAAATATTCGAAATTCGAACGGCTGTGTGCGAACGCGGGACGCATTCGAATGGTCGACTTATCTGCTTTAAAAGCGCTGTGGATGGTGTTGAGATGTATTTTTATATCGACACATTTTGTATCGACACTAACGTGTCCTAGAAGGTATTTAAAAGAGATGGAGTAACGCAGATTAAAACGATCGTTAATTATATAAGTTTAACTAGGATTCCAAAACAAAATAGGAAAATTTTCAATCCTTACATATCACTCAGCTGTCTGTATTTTCGCGTGTCCACTGGTTTTCTCAGAAACTTATTGACTTAGATTTCGAACAGCTAAGACTCAAAGGTAGTACCACCTTACAACCTAAAAGGTATATTAAAAATGTACATATTAGGCGTTGTCAATAATATAAGGCAATCATATTGATTTCTTATATTTTCACGCGCACTATCCATAAATTAAACCGTTTCAAAGTTGTTTCATTTATTAGTCAATCACTCTATTCTTGTCGAAAGTTTTTTTATGAATATAATTCATCGATAAATATTATAACTGCATCACTAGTTTGCATAGCCTAACGACACTTCGTCTGGGAGAAGAGACTATTGTAGATGCTATTTGAGTGCAACGTGAATTATATATAAAACTCGAACTGCGTCTGATGCTATGACTTTATCCAAAAATTACCGAGTATTGTCGTATTTTTTTGGAAATCGGCAGATGTCTATGCGCAATTTGATTCCATTGAGATTTTATTGACAAACAAGGTTTGAACTTTATATACCATTTTCAAATTCATAAAGTAAGTTCTTATCCAATCCTCATAATTTTTTTATAAGACTACTTAGAAACATACCATTTCAAATAAAACTATATTCATCAAAATTGGTCCACACGTATCAGTTTGAATTACTTTTCAAAAAAGCTTCTATTTTAGTCTAATCATAAATAACGTCATGTAGGTACACAAGACATTAAGTATACGGATTGAACTGTGTTCTTATTGTACGAACGATCCAATCAGCGAG